ATAAAATTTGCCATTTTATTTTTTTTTTTTAATTTTTTTTTTTTCAACGTTTATTTATTTTGGGGACAGAGAGAGACAGAGCATGAAGGGGGGAGGGGCAGAGAGAGAGGGAGACACAGAATCGGAAACAGGCTCCAGGCTCTGAGCCGTCAGCCCAGAGCCCGACGCGGGGCTCGAACTCATGGACCGCGAGATCGTGACCTGGCTGAAGTCGGATGCTCAACCGACTGCGCCACCCAGGCGCCCCTAGCAATGTTATTTTTTTAAGAGCAGCACTCACTACTAGGAAGAGAGAGTAAAATAGGCTAAAAGACTGAGTAAAGTTGGCAGCTCCCAAGAGATAAACACAGATTAGAATATGACCTAGCAATTCCATCCCAATGTATATGCTGAAAAGAACAGGCACTCAAATATACATGTATGGCCAATGTTCATTGTGGCATCAGTCACAGTAACCAAAAGACAGAAACAACTTAAACGTCCATCAACAGAAGAATGGATAAGCAAAATGTGGTATATACATCAAATAGAATATTATTTAGCCATAAGAAGAAATGAAGTTCAGATACATGCTACAACATGGATGAACCTTGAAAACATTAAGCTAAGTGAAATAAGGCAGACACAGAAGGAAAAAATTTTATATGATTCCTCTTATATGAAATGTCTAGACTAGGCAAGTTCATAAAGACAAGTAGATTAGAGGTGGCTGGGGCTGGGAATAGGGGGAAATGGGAGAATTATCACTTAATGGCTACAGAGTCTCTCTGGGGTAACAAAGAAGTTTTAGAAACAGATAGTGATGATCGTTGTACAACATGAAAGTAATTAATGCCACTGAACTGTCTTTCAAAAATGGTTAAAATGGCAAATTTTAGGGCGCCTGGGTGGCGCAGTCGGTTAAGCGTCCGACTTCAGCCAGGTCACGATCTCACGGTCCATGAGTTCGAGCCCCGCGTCAGGCTCTGGGCTGATGGCTCAGAGCCTGGAGCCTGTTTCCGATTCTGTGTCTCCCTCTCTCTCTGCCCCTCCCCCCTTCATGCTCTGTCTCTCTCTGTCCCCAAAATAAATAAACGTTGAAAAAAAAAAAATTAAAAAAAAAAAATAAAATGGCAAATTTTATGTTACATACATTTCACCACAATAAAAAAAGTTAAGATATTATACAGTTTGGTAACTATTTCAACCTATCTCTCTTATTTACATTAGCATTAACTAGACAAATTAAGACAAAGGCAGGAATACAAATCATGAAAGAGTCTAAGTGCAAGTTTAAAAAACAACCACGTTTGGAGCCCCTAGTGGCTCAGTTGACTGTCTGAATCTTGATTTCGTCTCAGGTCATGATCTCGTGGTTTCGTAAGTTCGAGCCCCGCATCAGGCTCTGCACAGGCCGTACAGAGCCTGCCTGGGATTCTCTCTCCCCCTCTTTCTCTGTCCCTTCCCCACTCACGCTGTCTCTGTCTCTCTTAAAATAAATAAATAAAACTTTTTTTAAAAAATTAAAAAAAAAAAACATTAAAATGAAACACCCGGAGCACCTGGGTGGCTCAGTCGGTTAGGTGACTGATTTCAGCTCAGGTCATGATCTCGAGGTTCGTGGGTTCAAGCCCTGCATCAGGCTCTGTACTGACAGCTCAGAGCCTGGAGCCTGCTTCGGATTCTGTATATCCCTCTCTGTCTGTCCCTTCCCTACTCACACTCTGCCTCTCTCTGTCTCTCAAAAGTGAATAAACGTTAAAAAAAATTAAAATCAAACACCTGCATCCACTTTTTTTGCCACACTAACAACAACCGCAACTACATCCATGGTAAGCAAACACGGTGCTAGAACAGACACCAAGAAGAAAACAACAGAAGGAGAAAACAGAAAATTTCATAATATCTCAACAAGCTGGCAAATACAACCAGTATATAGTCCAACTATAGACAATGGAGCCAGACATAATGGAGAGAAAAGATTTTAGTCCCAAGACTCAAACTCTGCTATAGGACACAAATGCATGCAAGATCACCTTCCCCTGACACTCAGGCATGAATCAATGGAATTATCAAGAAGAAACATCTATCTCAAAAAGAAATCCTCGTTTTCTCACTGGCTCAACAAAAAGGCATTGCCAAGGCTGGAGCAAAGGCTGATGTCTGAAAATCATTTCTGGAATATCTAGCACACTTAAATTTTCCCAAAGTGTTCAAGAGTCTCTCAGCACCATGTATAAATTTAACAAGAACAAAAGAAACCAAAATGGTCTATTACCACAGGCTCCTGATGCCCTTCTCCAGAGCCAACTCTGAAGAAACAAGAAAAGCAAGTAGGAAACTTGGATGAGTGGTATGAGAAAAGCCTGAGAAGAGTAAAAGATAACTTTAACTGGTGTGTTGGGAGGAAGTGGGTGGCAGAAAGCTGCTAGAGGCTGTCTGGAGAAAAGATTTTTTAATTCTGCTCTTGCTTCTTTCCAGGAAGCAGCCTTGGGACAATCATTCCTTGCATTTTCACTGCCAAAATCAGCAGCTGCACCAGCAGCCTACACTGCCTGTGTAAGGGTGAGGAAGATAATACCAGGTCAGCACCTCTGCTTTTCTGGTGGAGAAACTGAGGAAAACATGTGGACAGACCCATGGCCACAAGCACTCACTCTTCCTCTGCACTCCAAACCCTAAAAGCTGGTGGATCATGACCCCAAAAAACTGCCTTTTCTTGGTGATGCTTTTCCCTAAGAGCTTAAAAGTGAAACATTGAATAAAAGCCAGCAGCACACAGGGAAGATCAAGAGTAGTTCTCTAGTCTCTGAAGCTTGACCCCTTCCCCTCTTTAAACTCACAAGACTTACACAGATTGGAATGGGGTGTTCATCCTTCCCCAATGGACAATATCAGAACAGCTGCCAAATCAACTACATCCAAAGAGTATGACTTCCATAAAAGACATCCAAATGGACAACACGTAACATATGATGTGAAATATTGAAAAGGCCAGTTCAAGATTTTAAAATAAACATGGCAGATAGACATAAGGAGATAAAGGAAAATATTAGCAATATAAAACAAGAACGAAAGATAAGAACCCAATGAAAATAATATACATTAAAAATATAATAGCTGAGATAAATAACCCAATATAAGAAATCAAAGGAGGATAGATACAACTGATAGATGATCAGGGAGCAGAGTCAACTGTGGAGCTCTCTCAAAGGAAAAAAGGAAAGTCAAAAAGATAGTGAACATAAAACAAAAAGCTAAGAGATATGGAGAATGGAAGTAGACGTGCCAATCACTGAATAACAAGAGTCTCAGAAGAAGAGAAATGGAGAATGAAGAAATAAATGAAGAAATAACAGATGTAAATTTTCAGAATCAAAAAATGAAGGAAGAGCATAAACTGCAAGGGCAATCAATAATGACACTGAATTACAATCCTGTACAATCACAACATGGTCTGGGCAGGATTGGAGAAGAAGGTGGTAACAAGTGAAAGACAAAAGGGATGTGCAAGAAAATGAGAACATACTGGGGCACCTGGGTGGCTCAGTTGGTTAGGCATCCGACTTCAGCTCAGGTCATGATCTCACCATTCCCAATTCGAGCCCCGCATCAGGCTCTGTGCTGACACCTCAGAGCCTGGAGTCTGCTTCGGATTCAGTGTCTCCCTCTCTCTGCCCCTCCCCCACTCACACCTCTGTCTGTCTGTCTCTCTCTCTTTCTCTCTCAAAAATAAATAAACATTTAAAAAAAAATAAAATAAAATGAGAGCATGCGAAAAAATGCTCGTCTTGTCTGGTGAAGATGGAATTTTGATAGTCTTAAGAAATCAGCAAGAATAAATAGTAGTATGGTTCATGAGTTAAGGGCATCTGTCATAGGAACAAAAACAGAATGTATAACTTACAAACCAGAAGAACAAAATTTGATCTAACCCGTGGAAAAAATAAAAATAAAAAGAGGGAAGAAAAGTAATTGCATTTAAAAATATGAAATAAAGTAGAAATAATTCCTAATTAAGACAAGAATTACCATACTTGTAAATGTGTTAAATAAGCTTATTAAAAGATATGGACTACCAGACATTAAAAACAAAAACAAGGGGCGCCTGGGTGGCTCAGTCGGTTAAGCGTCCGACTTCAGCCAGGTCACGATCTCGCGGTCCGTGAGTTCGAGCCCCGCGTCAGGCTCTGGGCTGATGGCTCAGAGCCTGGAGCCTGTTTCCGATTCTGTGTCTCCCTCTCTCTCTGCCCCTCCCCTGTTCATGCTCTGTCTCTCTCTGTCCCAAAAATAAAATAAAATAAAACGTTGAAAAAAAAATTTTTTTTAAACAAAAACAAAATATAATATAATATAATAACATGCTACCTACAAGATAAACTTAAAGGAAAACTTATAAAAGCTTGAAAATAAAAAGGTAGAAAAATATGCCAGCAAGGTTGAACCAAAAGAAAGCTGGGATAACAATCTTTTGTTTTTTTAATGTTTATTTTTTTAGAGAGAGGGAGAGAGAGAGACAGAGTGCAAGCAGAGAGAGAAGGAGACACAGAATCCAAAGCAGGCTCCAGGCTCCAAGCTGTCAGCAGGGAGCCTGATGTGGGTCTCGAAC